AAAGAGTACTTGTGTAGACATTTTCAAACCAAGGATCTTGGAAGTTCTCAAATACTTCTTAGGCATTGAAGTAGCGCAATCAAAAGTGGAGTTGTAATCTCCCAAAGGAAGTATGCTCTTGATATATACCAAAGAAACGCATGATTGATTGTAGACCGGTAGACAGTCCCATGGACCCAAACCAAGAATTAAGGACAGAAGAAGGTGAATTATTCTCCGATCCAGAGAGGTATAGAGGCTGTTGACAACTGATTTATCTCACTATTACAAGGCAGATCTATCCTTTGCAGTTGGAGTGGTTAGTCAGTTCATGCAGGCTCCATGTGTTGACCATTGGAATGCTCTCATTCGCATTCTAAGGTATGTAAAGAAGGCTCCCGGGCAAGGATTTTATATGAAGATAAAGGAAGCATTCATGTATCTGGGTATTGTGATGCAGATTGGCAGGTTCCCTATTGATAGACGGTCTACAACAGGATATTGTGTTTTTCTGGGAGGAAAACATTATTTCATGGAAAGTAAGAACAGAATGTAGTAGCTCGATCAACCGCGGAAGCCGAGTATAGGGCAATGGCATCATTACATGGAACTTATATGGGTGAAACCAATTCCTTCAAGAGCTTAAATTTTGTGACATCCATACTATGAAGATGTATTGCGACAATCAAGCTGCTCTCCACATTGCATCAAATCCAGTTTTCACGAGAGGACTAAACATATAGAAATTGATTGTCATTTTGTTCGTGAAAGTTTGTTGACCAAAGAAATATGTACTGAGTTTATTGGTCAAACGATCAACTCCGCAGATGTATTGACTAGTCAATTAGGGGTCCTCGGATTGAGTTTATTTGTTCCAACTTGGTACATACAATTTGTAGCTCCAGCTTGAGGGGAGTGTTAGGATATTATCCTATTTTATCATCATTATAGTGTCAAGGGTTACCCTATTGTACATGATTATATTGTGTCTAGGATTACCCTACTTATCATGATTATATTGTGTCTAGGGTTACCCCCCCTATTTATCAGGTATTTGTGTATCAATTATTCTTATAAATAGAAGTTGTGAGAGGATCAATTAAGCCCTCAAGAATTATTTCTTTTCAATCTTAAGTGACCATACCCACCACATAGCCTATGAACCCCTAGCATAATGCCAACCACTCCTTCTAATCAGCACTCGTCCAACTAAACTGATAATAAACAGTTTTTCCAAAGTTTTCTAAATCAAAAGTTAATTGAATAAATGAACCCAGTGTTCCATAAGCGACATCAATAATAAAAAATGCTTTCAAGTAATGTAGAACATGTTAGAAACAATCATTACTGACAATGACAACATAATAATATAATCTTACTTGTTGAACTGAAACCTTAGAAATCCAAGTAGGAAGCAAACAACATGTGTTATTCAATGCATCATATGATGATTCTTTTGCCTTCCCACAGTCGATAACAAAAACAATATCATTGATTGTGATACTCGTTTCAGCAATATTTGTTGCTAGCACTATTTTCCGTACTCCATCTTCAGGTTCTTGAAAGATTAACCTCTTGCTTATAAAATAGTGTAGTAATAAGGATTATTGGGAATAAAAATATCTTAATATCTCTATAATAATAAGGAAAAATATCCCTAAAATCTACACATTTATTTTAAGATATTTTTTTTTTCACTCTTTTAAGAGTGCAATTATTACAAATAGAAGAGTTGAGAATCTAACTTTTTTAATACGGCATTCATGTTAGGCATTACTTTGAATTGTGACATACATGAGAATAATACGAGTGATTTAGAATATTTTTTAGAGTTATTTCCTGATGAGGATCGTATGGAGATGAAGCCCAAAGAACTATTGGCCCATTCTTAACGCGAGAAAACCGATCTTAACAAGTGAAAAGTGTACGTGAGAAGAAGGAAGAAAGGCATGATGCAAGGGTGCTGAGATGGCAGGGGTAGTAGGGTCAATCCCATAAGGTTTAGTGGGTTGTTATGGTGAGAGAAAGAGGAATTCCATTACATAGAGAGAAGGGGTAGGGGGGAATGTTTTGGGTATAGAGAACCATCTACTCTAGGAATTGGAGTCTCACTCCTTTTGAATTTCCTATCTCTTCAATAATATCATATACATTTCGATCACCTATTGTGCTTTATTTTATTTTTGAATTTTTTGGTATCCTTGGTTCGACCTGCCCGAATTTGTTGATGTTAGTGGATGCCAAAAGGGAGGAAGAAGAAAATCATCATACAGACTGAGGAATTAGTGGAGGAGGATAACATGGAGTTGTTAGTGAACTTGTTGGAGGCTGAAGTGTCACGGATGAGAGTGTCAGTTGAGGAGTTTAAGGCTCGGGCAGAGGCACGAATGTAGCTGATGTAGGTGATCTCCCTTAGCCTATCACAAAAAAGAACAGAGGTAGGAGGCAAGTCGGCGGGCTCGAAGAAGAAGAAGGAAAACAAGAGTTTTTCTGGGTCTAGATTGCACCCTCTTCAAGGGAATGCAATGAAGGAATTCCAACAATCAGTCAAGAGCATCGAGTTGCCCCTATTTAATGGTGACAACCCTGCTACCTGGATTACTAGAGCTGAAATTTATTTCAGAATCCAGGAAACCAGTGAGGAGGTGAAGGTAAGTTTGGCAAAATGTATTTTGATTAACGGAGAATCAGAGAAGGTTGATAAAGTGCAAAAATTGTGATTGGTGAGGAGCAATGATTGGGATCCCTGAAATAAAAATCAGCTTATTAAATAATATAAGGCCGTATCCAGTGCTTCTCAGGCCCTTCCCTTATCTCCTCTACAACCCGGGCACCTCTTTTACCCCTTCTCCGACACGTCTCCAGTGCTTCTCAGAAGCGGACAGTTTCTCCTGAGTCTGGAAACAAGGCCGTGTCTGACCCAAAATAAGTGTGTCTGACAATGTGTCAAGTACACACCAGACAAGTGTCATATCCACAATGCTTCTGAAGCGGAGAAGCGTGGTTTAGTGACAAAACTTCAGAAGTTGGAAATGATTATTATGAAACTAGAAAGAAAATTCATTATTTAGATTAAAATATCTCTATTTCTCTATAATAATTAGGAAAAATATTCATAGAATCTATATATTCATTTCAACAGATATTTATTTCCTGTTTTAAGAGTATGATTGTTACATATAGAGGACTTGAGAATGCAATTATTATGATTGTAATTAATAAAATATTTTTTCTCTCTCATGTTCAAGTTATAGTTTATCAAGAAATTACTTGTAAGCAAGAGGGTAAACTACATCAGTAAGCACAATTCAAACAATAATTTCTGTTATTAAATAAATATCTTGCTTGGGAACAAAACCATTACGCATATTTTTTTCAATGACCAAATTATATGCATTACAGCAACAGAAAGCCAAAAAAATCTTGTGTACTCATGCAATAGCATTCTTTTCCATTTGTGTACTCATGCAATAAATAATAATGCAGAAAATAAGTACAGATTAATGAGTATACACAAACAGTAAACAAAGACAAGTCATTACCTGCTCCAAACTGTCCATTGAGCCATGGCACATCACCAACAAAACTCGGTTTGGATCACTCAAGACAGGATGTGTTAGGAGCTTCTCCTTCAGAGCATTTATATCATCCCATCCAATCATGAAAACTAAAATGGCACCTGGTCTTTCATGCTCACATATATTGCACAGTATATATTGTATGAGGTTAAAACCAATAAAGTCAGGATTCCAACAAGACAAAGACTCTCTTGTTTGCGGACTGTAATAATTGAAATCAGCAGCTCTTAACACATCCTGGTCATATTTTTCAGAAAGAATTTAATAAATACATGGCAAAGTTTGAGAAACTATATGTTTAGAATTTTTTAAGTACCTCCAAAGCAGAAGATAATTGGCTTTTCCTCTTTCCTGGCAACTGTTTGTTCATTTTCCAAATCCNATCTCTATTTCTCTATAATAATTAGGAAAAATATTCATAGAATCTATATATTCATTTCAACAGATATTTATTTCCTGTTTTAAGAGTATGATTGTTACATATAGAGGACTTGAGAATGCAATTATTATGATTGTAATTAATAAAATATTTTTTCTCTCTCATGTTCAAGTTATAGTTTATCAAGAAATTACTTGTAAGCAAGAGGGTAAACTACATCAGTAAGCACAATTCAAACAATAATTTCTGTTATTAAATAAATATCTTGCTTGGGAACAAAACCATTACGCATATTTTTTTCAATGACCAAATTATAAGCATTACAGCAACAGAAAGCCAAAAAAATCTTGTGTACTCATGCAATAGCATTCTTTTCCATTTGTGTACTCATGCAATAAATAATAATGCAGAAAATAAGTACAGATTAATGAGTATACACAAACAGTAAACAAAGACAAGTCATTACCTGCTCCAAACTGTCCATTGAGCCATGGCACATCACCAACAAAACTCGGTTTGGATCACTCAAGACAGGATGTGTTAGGAGCTTCTCCTTCAGAGCATTTATATCATCCCATCCAATCATGAAAACTAAAATGGCACCTGGTCTTTCATGCTCACATATATTGCACAGTATATATTGTATGAGGTTAAAACCAATAAAGTCAGGATTCCAACAAGACAAAGACTCACTTGTTTGCGGACTGTAATAATTGAAATCAGCAGCTCTTAACACATCCTGGTCATATTTTTCAGAAAGAATTTAATAAATACATGGCAAAGTTTGAGAAACTATATGTTTAGAATTTTTTAAGTACCTCCAAAGCAGAAGATAATTGGCTTTTCCTCTTTCCTGGCAACTGTTTGTTCATTTTCCAAATCCTTTCTGGACCATAGTCATCAATTTGATTGTCAGGAGTCAATCTGTAGCCCGAGATTTCCAAAATATCCTCCAAAAATTGAGTTCTGACAGGATAGGTAAAACCCTAAACCATCCCCAACCAATAAGAATGGAAAACTTAGATTTTAGTCCCAAAATAGACATGTCAGTAGCATTAAATTAAAATAAATAGTACCTCCGCTTACATCAAATAAAATATTGCTCAATTTAACAGAATTCAAAGAAAACAGAGAAATAAGACTAGACTACCTTGTAAATGATTTCACAAAAATAGAGTACAGAGAAAGAAGCCTTATATAGGTGTACAACAAAGTGACTCAATAAACAGTCACCATCTAACTGGCTAGACAAACTAACTAATAACAATGTGAGTACGTTAAACCATGTTGAAGATCACACATTGACTATAAAGATAAGACGATTTCACAATATATAAGTAGGTACAAACCTCACCTTACAAGTCTGTTTTGTAAAGTTGAGTTAGCTTAAAGTTTACTTCTATAAATGGTATGTGAGATTTATTGTTTGTTGGACTTATCATGTCATCTGCTGAAGGAACCGAACTATCGAAGCACCCATTAATGTGTAGTTCCACTCTTGAGATATATATGTTTAGGTGTAAGGAGGAGGATGGAAAACCCCTAGCCAAGGGACCAATCACAAGAAGCATGATCTAGCACATTCAAGAAGAGCTAGAGTTATCTATGAAAGGTGAAGCCAAACTCTTATTCTCTTGGGCCATTTTGGAACATATTTAGTAGTGTAGGAATCTTTTGGGCCTTGTATCATGGGTCAAGTAGTATAGTATTTCCATTTGGATCTTGTATCATGGGCCAAGTAGTGTAGGATTTTTGGTCAACATGGGTCAACATAAGTCGACTCCCTAAGTTGACCCATTGGTGGTGCCTTTTGTGGCTGACTTCTAGTCAACATCCACCAAGATCACCCTGGGAGGCAAGGCAAGGGCGTGATTGGCTCTCCCTTAGTGAGAGTAGTGGCCAAGTGTCTTCTTCCTAATGGAGAAGATTCTCTCCTAGTAGTGTTCATGTGTCCTTCTACTAATGGAGAGGATTTTCTTATAGTAGTGGCCACATGTCCTTCTCCTAATGGAGAGGATTTTTAGCCTTGTCCCAAGTTAGCAAAGTTTAGGTTTGTAGAGTTTTGCTTCTACTTTTGAGACACCTCTAGGGTTAGTTGGTTATAAATAAAGGTGCTCATACCTTGTAAAAAGTGCTTTGAGATTAGAAATGAAATGTTGCCAAAATATTGAACAATCTTACTTGTCTCCAAAGTCAATACAAGAGCATACCATGATAGAGAGCCATCATGTGTTGAAATTTTCTATACTGCTTTTTGTGTGTATGTACCTATCCCAAAGGATAAAGTGTTATAGGCTACATAGTTGTTCCTTGTATTGTACTTCTCTCCTTTCATATATATATGAAATATGAAATACATCAATTGAGAACAATACTCTAACTACTGATCACATCCAATTCAAGTTTGAATCAGAGTGGGTATGACCGTAACCTACCATCGAATGTAGTTAAAATCGCGATCAAGATGATGAAATCGTGTGATTCCAAGATTTCACACAACACCTCCATTTCAAATTCCATGTGTGATTGTAACAAATGTTGAATCTTTGTTTTCGCAAAATCAGTTAAATCTTTGTTTTCACACATCTCATCCATTCCACTCCCATATGTTGAAAGACGATGAACTTATCTCGACAACAGATAATAAAAGACGCAAATGATTCATTTGACAAATGTAGCAACATTGTTCAATCTTTTTTTATGTCTAATATAGCATAGATATACTCAGGCGATAAGCACATAAAAGTAAGCTAACCTCATATCAAATGAAGACACCATAAATACTTATTCTATGTTGTAGGTAATGTATACCCCTTTTGTTTCCAAAAGAGATCCATCACACAACGGACCAGGCACATCCATGGATCTCCTCGATAAATAGAAAAAGTTGTTTTTCTTCACCAAATCACTGAACTCAAGGAGAACTCTATTCTTCATAAGGCACTATTGTTTAAGACAAAAGGAAATCCACATTGCCCAAGAATAAGCAAAGTACATCCAGCTATAAGGATGTTGCTTAATGGAGAAAAGCGCATTTATTGTTGCATGGAGTGCATTTAATGCATCCATCATTATCAAACTCTTCAGAAAAAGGTAAGGCATTCAAAAAGAGCTAAAGTTGCTCATAAGCCAGAAATGGTTTAACAACAACTACTTTCATCAGATTTTATAAAAAGTTATTCAAGAAGAAGAGGGAAACCACTTTGAATAGTGCCAAAACATAGCATAAACTTTTGATCCAACTAAAGTTTCAAAGAACAATATTGTTCATGTTCAATGAGCAATCAACAGGAAAGTATCAATCCTACATATATTAACAAATGATCAACCTCTCTAGTGAGCTAAAGTGTGATTAGTGATCACCAAACATACCAACTATCTATCTTATAAGAGTGACCATTTGGCAAAGAATACTTAGTTATTAGCTAGGAGCGACTATTTTTCAAAAAATAATTGCTTGAACCAAAGGTGACCTTTTAGTTATGCCAAAAGTAGCTTGTAGAAAGAAAACTTGAATGGAACTAGTTGAGAATGGCTGAGTCGAAAGAATACTCAAGTTAAACTAAGAGTGACTTGTGAAATAATACTTGATTGAGCCAATAGTGGATTGTTAAAAGAGTACTCAAGGATTTAGTCATGAGTGGCTAGAAGGCCCAAAAATACTCAAGGGGTTGATCAGAAGTGGTTACGAATCCAAAGAATACTTGTGTTGTACTTCGCAATGTTAGTGTACTTAGTGGAACTCAATTAGTTAATCGAGAATAAGTTAAATGGAGACACAGGAACATAAAGAACATTATCAATGGACAAGAAGGAAAAGGATTAACAATACCAACTCCATGGGATAAGACCTTAGATCCATCAGCCATGGTAACTAAAGGTAAATAACTCGTGCAAGATACAGAAGAAAACAAAAATTTGTTACTTGTCAAACGATCAGTGGACCCAAGTAAGAACCCAAGGTCCAAGGGAAGTAGATTGATTTAGGCCAACAAAAGATGTACATGTGTGTGCAATAAAAGCAATGGAACTAGGTTTTTGATGATCCTTGTACCATTTGAAAAGTTCATTGAGAATAATAGAGTGTCCTGCAATATTAAATGAAGTAGGATCACATTAGATGGTTGTGAGGGAGGATCAATTTGGTCTCCTGCAGCAAATCGAGGACAACAACCATATAAGGCATAACACTGATCAATCTTATGACCAAGCTTGTGAGAATGTTCACACTTGTGATGCCCTTTGCTCAGCTTGTGAGAGCGATTACCGTCACCACGTTGAGATACCAAAGCAAAGGAATCATCATCAATGGAAGTAAGTTTATTAGCAATCTTTTTATTTGGTACACGCAAAAGGATGGATCAAGCAAAAGCAAAAGTGGGAACAACAAGGGATCCCAAAATCTGATCACGAACATGGAAGTAGTCATCAGAAAGTCCATGTAAAGCCAATAACATAAAGAACTTTGACCATTGCTCTAGATCTTGAGAAGAAGTAGAGGCAAGAGGTAATAACTCATTAAAATCATGAAGGAGAGAATCAATTTTACCCACATATTCAGCCATTAGGCCACGACTTTTAGGAGCAACAACATCAAGAAGATTGTGACAAACACCATAAAGACATTGAGTGTCACTAGTGTATAACAATTTTTCATGTTCCCAAACTTCAAAACATGTTTCATAGGTACAAAACAATTATTTTCAAGATGAGTGAATAGTGGATTTGAGAACCATGCATAATTAAGCATCAATCTTCACCCAACACGGAGCTTCACTGGCATCAATAGAAGTCACACTCTTGGTGAGATTATCCACATAGCCCTGACTCTTAACCAAAGTTTACTGTCTAATCCCAAGTCTCATAATTATTGCCATCTAATTTGTCAATGGTTAGATGCCCATTACCTAATTAGTGTAGATTGACGGATCAAAGGAATTGGTAGCAGCTGGGGTAACAATAGAGGTTGAAGTCGTCGAAGCCATAGATGAATAGGATAAAAAAAACCCTAAAATCCAAGATTCTTCAATCAAGGCAACAAGTACAGATCCAAAAAGAGGAGGAGGAGGAGGCGATCTCGGCGCAAGTGATTGTTGTCAGAGAGGAGTGACACGCCACCACACGCAGCAGCAAAAGAGAACAGATGTTCGACTTTAAACGGGGCATGCGGGTGCGTTGTTGCTGTGATGATGTCAATCTTTGCAATGTGGTAGTCACATGATCCAGATGATACGATTGGTGGGGTCACCGACCTAAACGGTGGCTCCAGCAATAACTCTAGCGACGGTTCTGGTGGCGATTGCAGTTGCAACGACCAACGAAAAAAATATGTATGGATTAGTAGAAAACCCTAGCTCTAGATACCATGTTGAAAGTAGTGAAAATTAGGGTTAAGACTAATTTTCTTGTGTCGAAAATACACATAGGGTAATATATTTATAATGAAGAATTATAAACAAAAATATGGGCTAAGCCCAAATATACATAATATTGTAACAAACATGGGATATTGTAATTAATAAAGTCTTAATAATATCTAACACTCATAATGCTCTATATGCTGAAGTGATAGGTGTGATTCTGGCAATGGCAATTGCTGTCTCCAAAGGTTTTGAATTGAGTGTGTCTCTCAACTTCTTATACGAAGTAGTCTAATACTTCTATTACTCTTTGGGATCTTTGTAGTAGATGGTTGAATTATTTTGTAAATAGTAATACTATGTGTATTCCTTTTTCACATATTTTTCAAGAGAGTAATCAATGTGTTGAAAAACTTGTTGGGTTTGAAACTAGATCTCATGTTATACTAGGTGGAACAACTTCTAGCACCATCTTTCATTTGTCCTTAGTTCTTCAGAGATAGATATGATTTTCCCTTTTATAGGGTTAAGGGTTAATGATTAGTGGGTCAGGTTTTGTCTCCCC